GACGTTTACTATTTAGATGCCATCATCGAGTTATTCAGTGACGACATCTGGAAATGGTATTTATTCCTTGCAAAAAACTAACGAAGGTACGAAAAAACATAAAACTAATTAAATATTGACGAATTCTATTTCTTCTAGATGCACCACCAAAAAATCCATTACCATTACGACTTGACGAACGAAAAGATTGTGAATTTGCTCTTCCATTTCATTATGACAATGGTGCTAGTGCATCAACAAATATCGGTAGGTCAAAAAAAAAGAATTGATACAAAGAAAACATTGAAATTTTATTAACTGTTTTAGCAATTGATTTACTGATGTGTTGTTTTTTTGTTTAGATTTGGATGATGATGAATCACTTTTGAAACAAGTATTAGCGATATCTCAATTTGAATATATTGAAGAATTGAAAAAGTCAAATCAAACAACTCATTCAGGAGAGGCGAATGTTTCTACAGTTCCATCTACATCGACAACAGTAAATAATGAAGATCAGACAGAAATTAAGGCTAATATTGACAAAAGCTTGTAAAAATCAAAGAATATGTCTGTTTTCCTCTTAATTTATCGATGACTATTTGCTTGTTTTTCGTTTACATTCTTACACATACGCACATAGTCCATGATTTGCTTGTATATTTATTTTCATTTTTTGTAGTTTTTATTGCTCTTGCTCGTTTTTCACTGCCGCCACCATCAAAAAAATAATTGTGCTTTTGTTTTCCATGGCCAACAACAACAACAAGAAAAAAAAACCCATTTCTTTCGTTTACTGGTTATGTACATAAACAACTTTTTTACCATACAGATAAACATGCGTAATGCATCTAGACAAACAACTCAAACAAGTGTCTTTATTCTTCCTACTTTTTCTCTTCTTTCTTTCTCTGTTGTTTATTGACCTATTATCAAAAACTTTCAAATAAACAGTATGTGCGATAGAGATAAGGAAAAACAAACAAAATGTTAGATGAACGATTTAGAAATTCCTGCTATTCGTTTGAACAGAACAGTCAAACTTCTCCGTTTTAAGTGATAGTGCATATTTTCGACTTTACTGATCAATGAAACGAAAATTTCCTGAACGTTGTTTTTAAACATCGATATTTTTTTTGTTGATTATATGTAAATCCAAATAGATTAAAGCCGATGCGTTTTCATTAAATGAATAAAAACCTGATACCGCAGGTGGATATCGAATATATTAGAATTTTATTCATAACATTCTAGACGTTTTTTACATTAAAACTCGTTAATTGGTATAAAGCAATATCTTCATTAATTTCGAATGCACTAAACATTACTGTAAGTTTAATATTTTTTTTTAAAGATTCGAACGAAGAATGAAATATCTGTTGTATTTAACAGAGTATTTCACATTTACATGAAAAGGCTAAAACCGGACAAAACATTCGTGAAGTAATCATGCCAAATAGAATCGCCTTTTTATTATGGAAAACAAGATAAGATCAAAAAGAGAGTGATATTGTAAGATGCAGAAATGTTCTGCAATCATCCTGAATGCCAAGCTATTCTCTTTCAGAGATAAGTAAGTATAATATGTTCCATTCGAAGTGGACCGTATTGTCCGTGTTCTTTGGAAATATCCGATATATTCAAATAAAGATTTTATCGTCTTGAATATGCAAAATAAAAATAAACTCTTTGGATGTATCAATGATGGATTGATTTAAAATATTAATTAAGGTCGTTCTACAGCAAATATATGGCTCGATCAACAGGTTGCTTCACGGCTCAATTTTTCACTCGCAGTCGTAAACGTGGCCGTCTTAAATAGACTGATGATTAATCTTGATACTGAGATTACATTAAAGTGAGAAAGAGAATTCGTCAATATTTAATTAGTTTTATGTTTTTTCGTACCTTCGTTAGTTTTTTGCAAGGAATAAATACCATTTCCAGATGTCGTCACTGAATAACTCGATGATGGCATCTAAATAGTAAACGTC